TACCACCACCTTGCCTATTTCTGCTGTGAAGCAGTAATGCGTTTCGGTTTGAAGGGCGGGGCAGCCGTTGTAACTATACTTGAGACCTTAGAACTTATATATCAAGATGGGTGGCGCATTTACGTTGCAGATGTCTATGGGCTCCAGTAACCACTTAACACCAGGTGGGCTGTGAGCTCGTCCAGTCATCTAAGCTATAAAAAAAAAAGCTTAGACTTAACATTGTATGAACTTCGTATTTTCACATCAAAAATTCATGGAAAATGGCAAAAGCAGTTAGACACTATGGAAATGAAACGAGCTCAATATTGAATAGGAGTTGGCCAAAAGAGTGTTTCGAAATGAGAGGTGTCTGAAAACAAATAGCTCGCACAAAGAAAAAACTTGACCAAACTTTTACCTTACTGCGACGAAACGAGCGAGTTGGGGAACAAAAACTATTAATGTAGAGGCTCTCACGGCTCGCTGAGTTGTCGGTGCGTTTCGTTTGATAATTTCCGTGTACAGCGGGCTTTAATCGAATGAACGATCCCGCCCCCCGGCCTCTGCTCGCCTTCCCCTTGCCCGCGAGCGCAATAACATTGTACATCTCGATTATCGTAAACCATAGAAAGTTTGGGTGCTTGTGAAACAACTCTAGTCTGTAATCTGTCTAGGAAGAGGCTTTAGCATTTGAACATGAACTAAAACTTCTAAAATTGATAAATTTTTAAGCCTAACAGTTTTTAATATTATTTTTAGTTGCTTAGATGGGTGGGCGAGCTCACAGCCCACCTGGTGTTAAGGGGTTACAGGAGGCCATAGACATCTACAACGTAAATGCGCCATAGGTGACCTGGAGATATAAGTTCTAAGGTCTCAGTATAGTTAGAACGGCTGCCTCGACCTTTAAACCGAAACGCATTACTGCTTCACGGTAGAAGTAGGCAGGGTGGTTGTACCTACCCGTGTGGACTCACAAGAGGTCCTACCACCAGTAATTACGCAAATTATAACTTTGCGAGTTTGATTTTTATTACACGAAAACCGTTGCATCGCTAGATACGATTGCACCGGACGTCTTATCCTTTAGGCCGCGACGACTTCCGATTAGTTAGCCCACATTATAAAAAGGAACAAATTAGAGCTTCGCTTCTATATGGTGGTGTCTACCCGCACAAGCTAAGAACACAGTCAATAATAAATTATACCACCAATAATAAAACTCCAAGTAATAAATTATGTGGGTTTGCTTTCATTCCATTATGTTTTTCTTTATCGTGCAAGTTTACGAACAAGTGTCGGCCACATATTTATTTGTAAAAAAATGTCAGTACCTACCTATTAATTTCAGCACAATAGCTTCATACGTCACGATACGAGTACACTCGGCGTGTTAACCTTTACTAGAGGTCCAGCAGTAGTCGAAATTTGACTATAATTAATTGGAATTGTAAGTTTGTTCACAATCATAATAATGATTGTACTTTATACTTCTATAATCACAAATTTCGCCAAGGCTACACTATAAAAAAATATTAATAAGGACAAACAATATTTAATCTATTCTCAATTTGACAACAGACGTCAAGAACAAAAGTTTGACAATAAATAGTATGCATGCGTGTGTGCGTCAAATACATGGTATGTAGTGTGTGTAATGTTTTCTTTATTGATTTAATGTATCTTTCATGCATTATTTAAAAAAAATATTAGCATTGTGCACTTCTTCTCTATATTCTCTATAAGTGTGGAAAATTTCATACTCCTCCGTCCGCGCAATTTTCGTAAAAAGGGATACAAAGTTTTTGCTTCACGTATTAATATATAGATTCTAGGTACGTTATAGTTGTTGGTAGCGTAGTCGGCACTTGAGATATTAAATTTATTAGATCCGTGTCATGTGAGGCTCGTAAGAGTAAAGAAAAAGAAACGACATTAGGACGCCCTGGATGACTAGGCTCAGGATGGCCTGGGTAGCATTAACGTTGCATCGCACATCAGCTGTTTTCAAAATCATTTTTTTTTGTTAAACGTAGATTCCGTAAATATTTCACAATTTTGAAATATTACAAAGATTATTTTTTATAAAATTGATTTCACATAGTAATATTTTTAATATTTACTGACAAAGAATAAAACAATTAAAGCGAGACAGATCGGCATCGAAATTAAGCCCTGCGGCTGTTTCGCATCCGTCGTAATAAAACACATGCAAAGTTTTTCTTTACTGAACGTCGAGTGGTCGCAGCAAACGGATGCGAAGCAACAGGCTTGATTAAAACACGTGTTTACAGAACGCACACTAGATCCCGGACAAACGCAATAATACGAGAGGGGCAGTTAACGTTCGGCTGCCACTATTTCTACAAGAGCTGCGGGGTAATCGCTAAGCACTTTCGAAATTATTAACTGTGTTTTGAAATTAAAAAACCAGTGATATTTTAATATGCCTTCAATAAAATAGGTTGGTGCTGGCGACACGTTGCAAGCTTCGGCCGGTAGCACTTGCATGCCTATTTATGTTTTAGAAGCAATTATGCCTGCTAGTTTAAATGTAGTAAAGGTGTAAATTTTTGATTTTAAGTCTTAAGGCAGGCAGCCCTCGGCCACATCAAGTCATTGAGTCAGAGTTACATTGGAAGAATGGCTATACTGGCCTTTCTGATTGCTTCGCAGTAGAAATAGAAAGACTGTCATTATACAGTCTATGTCTGCTCATACTAAACATAGCTTCTGAACGGAATCTAATAGAGATTAGGTTTCTAATTATACATACACATTAAAAAACCTGGTCGCGTTATTGAAGGTAACAGCAAAGGTAGCAGCAGCATTGAGAGAAGACACACGCACTTTTACCCTTACCATTTAATTGTTTTAGAACAAACACAATGCCGCGAAATTATTTGGAAAAGTTACTAATGAATGATCTCTGAAAAGAAAATAGCAATGAGTACAATTTAAAAAAATACGAGAAAAATTCAGAGGCGTGCTACAAAACATTTATCAGTAAATTCTAAACCTTCAGAAAATGAACAGCTCAGCCGTTTATTTGTTTAGGTCGCATAAGAAAATCACTGGTCATCCACAATTTGCAGTTCAATGTAAAAATACGATTGATATAATTTTTGGAGTTATGATCAATTGTCTAAGGTTATTTCTGATACCAGCTTAATCCAGCAATGAAAGAAAGGCATTGGCGATTGCTTAAATATGGTTTTGTCATCGTATTTTGTAACATGTACCGATAAGGTGCCGTAAGGTAAGGAACCGCGCCAAATAAGGTATTTGCTCTTCGGGATCTAAGTTACTTCTTCTTATCTTGCATGAGTTATCGGCTTTCATAACACAACTAAAATCCTAGGCTAGGAGCCTCGAGTGAGGTTGTTTATTTAACGGCAAATCATCAGCCTGAAGATATTAAATACAGGTAAGTTTAAACAGGCACTAAATACAAAAATATTCCGTGTGTAATTCAGAAGAAGAAAATAATGCATTAATCGAATTTACTGCAATATCCTCAGTCCACGTTTCAGACATGGCGTAACATACAACTCAGCGCATTTTTACGTCTGTAAATTATAGTTTTACGATCGAAAATCATTTTTATGTTTTTGGAGGAATTTAATATCACGCCAGCTACGCTCTGCACATTCGCTATTTTTATTGCGCTGTAATTTTATTGTTTTCTCAATTTTTATTAACTATCAACCACCTACTTTGCTTCCTTATAGTAGATCAACGAGGTTTTACCCCTCGCATTAAATTAAGAAAGGACTTTATTTATTACTAAGCATAAACTATTTAAACTTACTATATAAGCTAACATAAAATATAGAGAAATGCAAATTTACAAAGGCAGGAACATAAAAAATAAGCTCGTACCTGTTTATAATTGTTAAACGTACAACTCTCGCATCTTTTATAATTTTCTTTAGAGTGGCGTAGTTTAAAAGCTTAGCGGTTAATTCACTCTTTATGGAAATAACAGCACTTTACTACGTAATTTGAAACGATCAACCCTCCTTTGTCCTGGTATCTATTTTTACAGAGTTATGAAGATCTCCAAGTTTGTTTTTTATTATTATACAATAATTTTAAAGTAGAATCATATCTTATAGGAAAATTTGGTCATGCTATATTCTCCATCCTAAAGGTAAGGGTAAAGGTAGATTGAATTGATAGCTCATTGACGTGTAGGTGAGCTCACGGGGCTCAAACCAGAAGTGTTGCTAACACTGGCCCTAGCAAGAGCAGTGCTTCGCAGAATCTCCACCGGATCGGAAACGCGACTCACTGAAAAGATCCGGCGAGAAACTCAGTAGACGTCCATGAGTACTAGTGACCACTTGCCATCTGAGGGGGGCGTATACTGTATCTAAAATGGTAATAAAGGCATAAAATACGTTATGACTTGTTGATTTTGGTGCTATTTGGTAGTTTAGATGCTAGATCAAGTCAATAAACACGATTTCTGTATGAGAAAAACAAGCCAGACAGTGATCATGTGCCCGCTCAATATATGTTGTATCAATGTTAGTGGGTGCACTGTAAACCTGTACCACCATCTAACCTATTTTTGAATTAGGTAGATAGTCATACGGCATTAGGCAGCTGTTAAACATAACAGTTATTATTGAGATTTGGACTTTATGTCTCAGTTTTATGCCATAGAGTTGTGACAGTCCAACAGTTGCCCCACCCTTCAAAACAAAAGCGTTACTGCTTCACGGCAAAAATAGTCAGGGTAATAGTACCCCTGCGAACTCACCAGTCGTCGTACCAAAAGTAACATACATAGACAATACACTTCAATAGTGTAGGTACCTACTCTATTCGGATAGCTAGGTAACAATACACATACAGTTGGTAGCTAGGTAACGCATTTTTCGTTGCTAAGGAAAATAACATTCTGTTGTCGTTCAGTAAGATTTGGTTACAAGTTACGTTCTATTTTTATTTATTACATATTTTTCAATACCGTTCTCATATCTTTATGTAAGTGTCGGTTGAATCGAGATATGGACGCGAAACGTACTATAGGCATCGCACCGGACTCCGACTGTGTAAAAGGAGTGATTGCATGTCAATGCGAACTAGGTCGAGAAAAGCTACTGACAGCTCCACCTTACAATAGGGTGTCCTCGCCTCAAGATGAGAACAAGTCGCGGTACTCTACTGCACCTTGCGCTCGGGATATCGACCAAAACAAGTGTCCTATTAGCCACGTTCTTATCACATTTAAATCGCCATTGCATCCAAACGAAGTGTTCAATAAAGTGTTCCCCGCCAATACTGCAATTAAATATGTCAAAAAGAAACTTGCCAAATTGCTAGGCCTGTCAAATAATAATATACTTTTAACCAAAAATAGGACTGTATTGAAGGACTCAAGCCTCGTATCAGATTTGAAAACTGATGTACTCGGTAATCTTGTTATTGATGTCTTCACCAAAGATTCCGAAGAATTTTCTTTATCATCCATACCAAAAGAATCGTACGTCCATGATCTTCTTCATGCAGTTATGCCAAAAAAGAAAGCAATGCCTTTTATTGCAATAAAATTTAACATTCGTAATCAAAACGGGATATTCACTCGCTCATACCATTCTATCATGAAAATTCACGAGGTGAAAAAGAATTTAGCTGGTCTGTTTGATACTGCACATGACAATTTAGTTCTGTTAAGAAGAGAGCAACCACTTCAAGACCGAATGGCACTTTTAGATCTTGATTATGATAAATATGGTATCGCCGAAGTTGAACTGTTAACAAAAAATAATGAAAAACTACGTTTAGAAAAATTATACAAAGAGTTGCCGATCAATGATGTACTAAGTGTGATGGTACCTTTTGGTAATACTATAAAGCAAATTAACGTGGAAATATTTACAGAGCTTATTGAGAAACCATATTTAGGGGGCTACAGAAATATATTTACTGGTAAAACCTACGTGGATTATTATATTTAATTTTGTATCTTAATCTGTGTATCTTAAAAATGAAAGGTATTGTACATTTATTGCAGGAATCGAGTACCATCATGCATATACGCAAACGCCACAAAAACCAGAAAAGTTACCGCCTGAAAAAAAAAACTGTAGAGATACACAAACGGCAGAAGAACGGGAAAAAATATACGTTAGTAGTACTTCTGGTAGCTATTTAAGAGAAAAAAAAATGTATTTTAGTTATATTGTAATGATTGTTTTTTACAAACTTGAGTGTATCACATTGGTTAATGAGCTTTTGCTTTAAAGGATACGGATTATAGTCGAGCAACTCAAATGAATTGTGTTAAAGCATACATCCCGAGTGTGAATGATAAGATAATAACCCCGAAACCATACGAGACTTTTGAAGAAATGAAACGACGTTTGAATCATGACCATTACGCTTCGATTATTCAAAGAGCATTTAAGCACTACCAGTTTCGGATCAAAGTGGAAAGATGGCTAAAAGAATGCAGGTAAAGAGTCTTTAAATAAATAGATGTAGGTTATTTTTCACAAAATTACGAGTCATACCGGGTAGGGACAACGGCATAGCTTTGAAAAATAATGAAAGAGTAGATAAATTAGTGCTATTGTGCTAATTGTGATTTTTGATGTTCTGAGTATTTCAGAGAATCAAGGACTAGACACGTCCTTACGGATCCATCAGATCCAATAACCTTTGCATTAGACGCTTTCAGCTCTAACACTAGGAGAAGGCTTAGGGACCCCGGTAACCGTACTCGTCGAACTCGACAAAGAGTTCGACGTGCAACCTAACCCATGAATCAGCTCGCTGAGTTTCTCGCCGGATCTTCTCAGCGGGTCGCGATTCCGATCCGGTCGTAGATTCATTCGCGAAGCAGCTGCTCTTGAGCTGTTAGGTGTCCTCCGGAGGCACTCGGGCAGCTGTTAGTAAATCCCACTCCTCCTGGCTCGCCCACCTGTCCTGGTGAAACTGGAAAGGCCTCCGGGCCACCAGTAATCCTTCAAACATAAAAAAAGACTGTACCGGTATTCGAATCCCTCAATACGTAATTAACATATTTTCACGAAAGAGTTCCACGATGAAGCATCGTGTCGTGTAATAAAAATCAAAACCAGAAAAATTATAATTTGTAAAAGAATCAAGAGAATCAAAAAAATATTAGTTATTAATATTAGCACCGTAATATATTATGTCTGATTCTTTTTAAGTCAATACATTTTTATTATTATTGCTACATGGGAGTACGAGCTCACGGCTTATTTGGTGTTAAGCAGCTACTGGAGCACATAGGCAACACAATGTGAATGCCGCTACCAACCTTGAGATATGTGGTCGAGATCTCAATAATATGACATAACGGCCGTTCCATCCTCTTAGCCGGGACGCACGGTTGTATTGCAACAGGAATATGCAGGATACCCACTCATGCCAGATCACAAAACCCCCGGTAAACTCCAATCGGCGATTTCACGCTGGGATAAAACTCAGAGAGCGCTGTTGCCCATTATCTGGTGAATAGTTTTACGATAATCACGTAAAGAGCATTCAAATAGTTATTCTATAAAATCACATCATTGTGTTTCAAAATTTTCGTTGTTTTATGATATAATCATCAATGAATTGTGTCTGGAAATTCCTCTAAATTGTTTGAAAATGTTTCGACCTATCTGCCAGCTTAATTGAGTTTTATCTGGTTTGGCATGGTGGCCTTTTAAAGTGACACTATTTATGTCCGGTTTAAGCTATCAAATAATTTTATTTCGCTGTTATTTATTTAAACATTAATTAGTTTTGTTAGGTTTGAAAATATTATTTAGGTATGTTTGATAAAACGCAAGTCATAAATTACTTGTCAGTAGGTACATACATTAGATATTTAAGTTTTCGAGCATTAACGTGAAATGTCAATTACTCGTACATATACGAGTAAGTACTAAATTTTGCTTTCTTTTGATGCAAGCGTCACATTTTTGGAGAATCAGTGTTAGTATTTGAAAGTAAACATAAAATGTACCTAACGTGGCAAAAAAAGTTTTATATAGATATTACCTATTTTTATGCCTTTTTTGTAGCAGACTAACATACGGCCCACCTGATGGTGAGTGGTTACCGTCGCCCATGGACTTAAGCAATGCCAGGGGCAGAGCCAAGCCGCTGCCTACCAGTTTGTATACTTTGTAATACTTTAGTTTTAGTTTAGATTATATTTTTACGTCACTATCGAATGCATTTATTGTTTTCTAGAGATAGAATAAACAGAATGCGCGAACAAGACCAAAAAGAACAGGAAGCGATGCAAAGGCGTCTGCAGAGAGATCTTGTGACAAAAACATTCCCGAAAACACGTCAAGATTTTGATCAACTTTATGCTATGGTTAGTTCCATAATACTTTGTTTTTTTCTATATTTTTATAAATTCGTTTTCTAGCTGCAACTACCTATTTGCTCCATATAACCATGTCGGACTCTGGAAATAAAGCTCTCGCAGCACAACGGATTCATGCGCTACTCTCGATAAAGGGGTTACAGGTTTAAAACTGGGTATGCTAGATGCTAGAGTGGAAGAACGAGTAGAGTGAATAGAGTACTATACTAATACTAGCGTATAAAGCAGTCATGCGATAGTTTAAGGGTAAGCTATTGCTGCTATTCCACTGCAGTGGTGTCTAACTCATGTCTAAAGTGCGCGACAGCATTCACATTTTGTGGATTTTCCGGTAACCTAATACCAGATAGCCCATGAGCCTGTCACTATCTGTGGCAACATCACAACGTGAATGTAGCCGTCCAGTTTTGAGGTTGAAATTGAATAATTAGTGCACGATATGATTAAACATTGTAACTAATTAAGTAATTATAAACATGTATTTGCATATAAAACTTGCCTTGTTGCGATTATCTTGCTACTCTAGTGGTTGCTAACCCTAAATACGGAACCACTTGATCCATGATGCCCTCTATTAAATATCGAGCGCGGTCCAGAATCTAACTGGGTGTCTTATTAATCAATAAACAAACGCTAATAAATTCAGTCCATTAGCGAATTAGTGACTTTAGTAACATGGGAAATTATTACTCTAATGTACATATTATCGGTATGGTCATAATAATTTATAAATGTATGTCGTTTTTTCATGCCAATATTGATTTTAGGTAGACCGCTGGAAGCACGCCGAAATAGCTAGGATATCACAACTACATTCAAAAGGACCTAAAATTGCTGAATTTACTTTACTGCTTGATAAGGAAGTAGAACTACTGCGTTGCATTGAAGCATACAGAATTAAAATAAAAGAAGACAGTCGAAAAATAAAGGAAGAACGTTTCTTAGAAGAAATATCGAAGCCCGTTGCATGGTACGGACGCAGCGGTAAACTTATTACTATGGACACTATTGAAATACAAAGAGCTAGGAGATTAAAAGAATTATATAATTCGTTTATACGTGAAGATACGGAGGTAAAGGAACGATTAGAACTTTTAGTTGATATGAAGTTTGCATTACAAGAATTCAGACATCCTTTAGCCGAAGAAATAATTACGCTCTTAGATCAGGAATGCGATCTTCTTGTGCGACGATATAATGGGTTTCAACTACAGTTCTTACGTCAGAGGGTAGCAGCGAGTATATTACGACTAATCAAAACGTCGGAGCTAAATTTCGGTGTAACTAAATGCAAAGACATCCGCGAATATAGACAAATGGAGCAAAGTAGATTGTACTTTTGCGAATTATGCCATCAAGTCAAGGGTTACGCAGAGTTCCCGTTAAACACCAAGATGAGTGGATTCTTGGTGTGCACATCTTGTTCTTGGAAAGACGTAAATGAACGGAGTTGGGTGGACATGACGCCTTACAAGTTTATTTTACGAGCAGTACAAAGAGAGGAGCGCCGTCGGAAGTGTTGGGGATCCTTAGCCTTTGTATTACAAGAGAAAGATATATTCTTCATTGTTGAAAAACTGTGGCATTCACATTCTGCAATTAGCGAATGCAAAGATATAACGGAATTAAGACTGTGCCGTTGGCGTGTGAACGACGATTGGTCTCCATGGAACTGTTTCTTGGTTACGGTGCAAGAGATGAAAGCCCACCTCAAGCTTCAGAATCCTCAAGACGTATACGACGAAGAGCTGGTGCAGAAAGTTGAAACTAAACACAAGTTGGCTAAGGCCAATTTCGAGCAATTAATGTCTGTAAATAAACGTTTCACGGAGAGTGGCGACTGGCAAAGCGTGCGTGCTCCAGCTGTGGCTCGGGTAAATGCAGTCGAACCGATTTGATTTTAGAAAAAAAGTACTAGGAAAAGTTATTGTAATCATACTTCTATCGTTTATAAATGAATATGCAATTTCGAAAAGGGCACATGTCGCATATTTTGTCAAATACGTTTTTTCATATACATGTAGTTTTGTGGCTTACGTACAGCCATTTTATAATAATTCCAGTAATTTTCAATTGCTAATTAACACTAAAATATATCTCAAAAGTTAATATTTAAAATTTTACACTGCTTTAGAAAATAATCAGTTTTTTTTTCATTTCCTGAACATTTTACATTTTCAGAGATGTGCCCTTTTCGAAATTGCATATTCAAATATTTTAAAGTCACATTCTCAATTTTAGTGATGTGCACATTTAGGTTATGGTTCGAAGAAGATTATACAAGATTTATACAAGGTTATTTATTATTAATGCATAATTTCGCGAAATCATCTGAAACAACCGGAGTAAATTATTTTAGATTGACAATGTTTTGTTGAACCTTTCTTAAATGCTTGTTTTATTGTTAAAATTAACTAAACCAGTATTTTATTGCAAGCCTTCGCAACATAATCTTGGATTAAAAAGCTGCAATAAAAATAAAATAAAACTTTCTTTTTAAATTGTCTTCTTTTAATAATTACACGTAATACTTTATAACATAATTACAAATTACATATACAATTATAATTTCTCAAGATATCAAACCCAGTGATGAAGTCTAAAACAAAATAATATAATAGGCATGTAGGGGTATTTATAAAACACAAGTATTATAATAAGTGAAATTTCACAACGAAATGCATCTTGCTACGCTTAAACAATCCATAGTATTAATGTAGATCAATAAATTACGTAAATATAATTTAAGCAAAATGAATATAAGCTGTACAAAGAAGTCATGAGACATGCATGTAGTAGTCTTTTATTTTAAAATGATTGAAGTCGAAACTATAAATATCGTTACTCATTTAAATGTTATTACACAATTTAATTCAAAGTAAAACCTTAAAAATAAGTAAAGCTGTCTGAAATTAATATAAATACGGTAACGTTATGTAGTCTTAGCTTGGTGATTTCTGTACGATGAGGCTAGAGTGAAACGCACAAGTATATATATTCACAATTCAAACAATTTCGGAACTGAATCTAGTCATTGCATAAACCGATGCCTCCAATGAACACTACGCTAACTCCAAATTCGTAGATTTACAGGAGGAGCGTTTAAACGAAAAAAGTTGATAAAATCTTTATTATTGCTGATTTACTCTTGCTTCGAACCCCATCAATAATGATTAATTGTAATACTTTTAACATAGTGAAGCGATTTGCATGGAAAACTAAAATTTCAAAATTTTGAGTTAGAGTAGTGTTCATTGGAGGCATCGAAACATTAAACTTTTAACACATTCAAATACAAAAATAATTTAATTTTAGAGTTATTAGCTACTAACAACGTTATAAAAACTCAGCGACCCCGGCCTTGCTGCTGCTACCAATTATTACTATTACTACCGTAATACTCATGCGTAGTAGTAGCTATAGTATTTAGATTATTTTCGACGGTCTACTGACGCGACTAACCGAAGCCTAGGGGAGTTAGGTACTGGATAATCGCCATTCTAATCAATTTGAGGCTTAGACTCCAGTCCCCAAGGCAGTATCATGCATGGGTCTATCTATCGGCTATCTTCACAAACCAGTTAAAATAAGGTAAACGTCGGTGTAAAAATAATAATTAAGAACAGTTCCGAAAAGTTATCAATAATTCTTTTCAAGAGCTAAAGAAGCTATGGCAATTTAAAGTCTATAATTCATACAGAGGATTTAATGTGTATCGCAATGAAATATATCGACACTTATATTAACGTTAATTAATATACATGCATGATTAAAAAAAAAAATATATATATGAAAAATTAAGTAAAGAGCGTGCCTCATCGTTACAATCGAAAACATAAATGTACCCTAAACGAACAATCAGTCGAGTCGTAACAAAGTCTCTCGCCAAATCTGTAAGAAAACATACGCAACATCCGCCGTCAAAATCTAACAACTATCGTTTTAAAATTCCAACATCATAAATTACTATTCTGTATATATATAATCCTAAGTATTTACTCTCTCATTAGCCGGCAACTAACCAAGTTAGTGTCTCTGTACGTTTGTACATTTTATTCGTTCTAATGTAAGAAAGCGTAACTTACTAAAATTTCATATTTACTTTGATCATGTTCATTTTAGTAAGACTCGCTAACCGCTACTCTTTATCAAGTCAACCTATAATAATGTTTCACTCTTGCGTTAGTTCAATCCACAGGTCATAACTGTCGATACTAGCTAATTTTATATACAATCATCAATTGTGCCTCGATACAACAATAGTCTAGTAAATTTTGTAAAATCCACTCACAGTATAGTACAAAAAGTGCAGACACAATATTCACATAAAAGAATATGGTATTTTTACTATATATACTTAACACGACTATATAATTTTTGCACTTTTAATATTGCCATCTTAGTGGCTTAAACTCGGAATATCTCAATTTTATTAAGACTTCATAACCCATATCCAACGCAAACATCTTAATAATCTATTATTTACATTTTCTTAGATTTAGAAGAAGGAAGTATTCATACAAGAGACCGAACTATCTACTACTGTGCCGAGACAAACGCCACACGTAATGCTATCATTTGGCGTGTCTTCTAAAGTGTGACAATATACAATAGCTATGAATAAACTTATTATATTTACAAGTCTTATCAGTTACGCTTGCTCATCAAATATAATTGGCCTTAAGCTTGTCCAAAAATCAGCGACGCAACCGTTAGCGCTGCCATGCCATATTTATAGTTCAACAACGATTTACGACTAACAATTATGCGAATGTTTCGTTGATCGCATATCACTAAAAAAAAAATATATACGGAGACAATTTCTTTAACTTAGTAACGTAAATAATATATATATATTAATAAAATATACTTTAAAACTGTTACAACACAATTTGATTCTTTGTTTTTTTACATAAAATTTACACGCTCTTTCTCAATTAATTATTGCTCACGAATATTTAGATTACGATATGATCATCGATATATTACAAAAGGCGTACGCTATTTATTTTTTTCTCATTGCAACGGCACAAACACGAATTATTTTCTTAAAATTGACACGTTTCTGAACATTTGACTTTGTATATTTTGTAAAAACTGGTCTTTTTGAACAGTCATCCTAGATTATATGGATAAGCGACATTTTTCCAAGTAAACTGTTTTTGAAATGAGATAGTAAAATATCACTAAAAAAAAACTTATAATACAGTCAATTTTACAAAAGAAGCCTCTCGACATATCGAGAATTGACATTGTACTTCCGCGGCATACGATCTCAGAGTAACACGTTCGTGTTTCAGTGGTACCCGTCGAGTTCCATGGACGAAATTCTGTCGGACCCAGTGCCGTAGTTGTGGTTCGAGTACGTGAGGGTGTTGAGCGACATGTCCTGCGGCACGTCGGACGGCGACAAATAGTCCTTGTCGCTCGTCTCCATGAACTCGATGATGCGCTGCGTAGACTTGACGTGGGCGACGATCGCCGCTTCCCCCTGTAGGACATGCGGGATGCAGTTTATTTATTTGTCGGAGTTTGGTAACTAAACGAAACGCAGCACGATTCCCGAGATGGCAGCACGAATGCGAACTCTGCTAACTTCGTGCTACGACAGAGCCTAGCCGATGGAGGCGCGTAGCACAGTTGCCAGATGGGGGAGGTTCCCTGCAAATTCGGGGGGTTTTTCGACCTTGGGGGGAAAGATTTTTTGGGGGGACATTCGGGGGGAAAAGTTAGTTGGGAGAAATTTCGGGGGTTTTTTGAGTACCAATAATTCATCCACAAACACAATTCGCAATTACTATTAGAATAATTATAGTCTACTATACTATTCACAAGTCAATATTATAAAGGACAAATTATGCAACCAAATGACAATAGAAACTGCCGAAGCGGTTCTCAGGATTCGATTTTCACTGCCAAATAGATGCATAAATTTTGTTTGCACATCGGACATGTTAAATATCTTTAACTTCGAAAACGTGTATGCTTTAAATAATAATACCGAAAGTGAATATGATTGTAATAATTGTTTAGAGATGGTTGAAGTTATAGGGACAGCTTGATTAAAAAATAAAAGAATCCTTTTGGTTTTTTATTTCTTCTTTAAAATAAGTAAAGACTATTTTGGGTTTTTTTTTCTTCCAAAAGCCTATTTTCAGAGGGTTTTCGAAAAAAGTTGGGGGAAAATTCACACAGTCATCTGGCAACACTGGCGCGTAGACGCCATCACACTTACCAACCAGCCTTCTTGAAGAGCGGTGTTCCATCCTAAGAACTATCATTCGTTTTTGTTTGCTAACGTCAAGAGAAGATTTTTAAATTGTTCTAAGACAACAAACGTAATTATTAGTGTACTCGAATATTTTTCTCTTAGCTCGATCTCCCTATTCGCCCCTACGATGTCTGACATATTTATTTATTTATTTTTAGTCTTCTTACAAATTGACAGTATAACCAAAACATTTGTAAGGTATTCATAATATTAGCTTAAGTAATTTCTAGCAACAGCTATGAATCGCTGCAAACCATCATGGACTATATCCGTTTCTGGAGCACAGGCTGGGTAGCCATTGAGTGGCGAAACAGCACGATATGTCTGAGTGTTAGCGGTGTACTGCGTACGCGCTTGCGTGGTACTAAGAAGCTACCGCTGGCGACGCAAACCTCCACACATATTTCCACGCATGTAGCCATCAGGCACATATTATAGCGATACTGATTCCAGTGGAGTGGAGTTATTGTTTAATTTTGGAACGTCAAAAGTATCAACGAGCGACGTCCGCTATGACACTTTTCCCCCTTTCAATTCAGCCGCGAATTCGATTTCATATATTTCATATATTTAATCTTTAATTTGTCTCTTAAGAACTAATTAAATATATCAAAACCAATAAATACAGTCCACTTTCATTTACCACAACGCAACAGTTAGGCTCCCCGCGCACTAGGCAGCCTGGCTGCGGCAACCGAAATATTTGAGTAGCCAGTTATAGCAGCCAATCGATGCCAATTTAGGATCTTTTGGTCGAGCGATTTGGACTTCATCTCGTAAAAAACGCAAATCAAAGAAGACACTGGATCCGTCCTCTTTTTCTAGAACGGCATTCAAAAGGCTTATTTTATAACTATTTTATATCGACGCTTGAAAGGCAAACGTGACTAAGCGACAATAACTGCTTTGAACATAAATGATAGGCAATAACCATATTCGATGCGCAAAAAAAATTTATTTCTAGGTCTATTAAAATCATTTCAATCCTACAGCTACTAGCTAGATTCTACTACAGCTAGATTCGTTAAAATAAATTTTGTTTTCAGGTATTTCAACTTTAAATTAGTCTATTGTAAAGTTCACGCATTGTCGCTTAGTCACGTTTGCCTTTCAAGCGTCGATATATACCCAGAACGGTTTTTTTTAAATACAAGAGATTGTACAAGCACGCTGTGTCATATAACTAACATTTGGCAAAACGAATATGCATTGGCTGCTACAACAAGTGCGCGGGGACTGATAGCAGCCACATACATTCGCCAACACTCGCTCTGGCTGCCGTGCAACAGGCGCGTTGTACTGGCTGCCGCAGCCAAGATTTCCGGGCTGCTTATGTGCGCGGGCTCCCCTAAAACGCCATAAATTCGTCTGGCTGCCGCAGCCAGGCTGCCTAGTGCGCGGGGAGTTTTATAGTGAATGTAGTAGAGCTACAGGACTTTTTGGCGGGAACGCGAGGAGCGAGGTTGTATGATTTGTTTTATTTTGTCTATTTAATGTTTCTTCAAGTTTAAATGTGTAGTAACTGTGGTTTATTAACTGTTTAATATCTATGAAAGTGCACAAATGTGGGAAAATGAAACAAAGTTGCGGGACGTAGCTTCTCGGGTTCCTCTAAAGAGTCCACTGAAAAATCTCAGTAAATGACCACCATTTTACTGAGATTATATTGCATCCCATATCATCTCATCTCATTTCATTTAATTTCATCCCAGTTGATTAATGTCCCAAATTAATCATTTTTATTTCATTTCATAAGACATAACTTAAAGGTCTTAGTTACCAGGCCATAAAATCTCTTAAAAAAAAAGTAGAGTTACAGTATCTGTCAGTTCAGGGTGGGGTGTACTCACGCTCGCAGTGAGGGAGAGGAAGGCGTAGTACTTGCGCAGCGTGGGCAGCAGCGGCGCGTAGTCGGGCACGCGCTGGCGCAGCGCGGCCGCGTGCTCGGGGGACAGCACGGCCATGTGCCCCACCAGCAGCCCGATGTACGCGCCGACCATCGTGTGCTCCATGTGCGTGCCGGCGCGGGACAACACTGCCGGCATTACATCCGATGTGCATTACTTTAAATTCAACATTATTCCTGAGCATCTACACTACTTTTTCTATGACAAATCCTTGTTTTGTTTTTCCTATCTAAGCTGATAGCCTTGAGAGGTTATATCAGCGTCGCCTTAACTCGTAGGTGAGCTCACGGGGCTCAAACCTGATGACGTTACTAACACGAACCCTAGGAAGAGCCGTGCTTCGCAGAATCTACCACCAGATCGGAAACGCGACCCACTGAGAAGATCCGGTGAGAAACTCAGTGGGCCAAATCTTTGAACAAAACAAAATGACCAAAAAAAAAGATGTGTGGTTTCGTGGGATATCGGATATGAACGAAGTTTCTTATTATAAAAATATTAATTTTAAGTTCTATTCGAGATATAAAGAAAATAAAAATGGAGGTTTCGCAACAACCCACGGTCATTCACACGTGCGAACTTATTGTGGTGCACTTCATTCACGGTTGTTTGCATAAGAGTTAGTGTATTGCGCAAACGAACGCTCTGAGATCGTGGTCAATGAATGATAAAAAAAAATGTTATTTTTGTAAGTTATTACAAAGTTAAGTCTTACACTGTGTGGATTACTAATAAAAATCTGTAAATACGGACGTTTTTTCCCGGTCAGGGTACCCCTCCGCATCGTCCCATAAGGAACTTCGTTCCAAAAAGAATTTTAGTATAATGCTTACCCAACCATAAATCAATTCTGATATCGACAAGTAATGAATGATTAATATTTTGTTGAATTTGAATAACAATATTGAACATCGCTACTTAATTTTATAATAAAATACCAAGGTACTGGGCAGAAACTGCCACGAAAACTTAACTTGCTTGATAATTTTATTCCAGTATTTTTCGGTGTTTTTAAACCCACAAAAAGAAGTGCGCATTTCAGACGTTCATTTACCACAGCAGGCTAAACCTTAAAGATATATTTCTTTCTATTATATATGTCTTTTTTTGATGCCGCTTATCCATTTCATCTTTTTATGTAATCACAACGGTACTAAAGATAATTTCTCTTCAAAAACTAAAATTTCTTGATAAAAATACTCTAAAACATAAAACAATCAATAACAATGGCTCACATTTTGCTACAGTCTCGTCAATGTCATCTTGGGATTGCTTCTTCTTTTCTGTGTCAGATTCAGGTTCTTTTTCACCATCTAACAAAGCATCCGTGTTTTCTTCAGCTCGCCTGCATTGATGTAAAAAAAAACAGACTTAATATTGATTTCAAATATGAAAAAAGTATATTTGATTAAAAAAATACGAATTCGACATGGGATTTGACCAAGCCTCAAGTAAAGTCGAGTTAAAATAATAAAATCACGTTTTAAATATATATTCTGTTCGGGAAACTAGAACACGGTAATTACTTAATAAACTAGTACACTGACCTCGCCAGATCTTCTCGCTTGTAGAACAAATCGACAATAAGGTCGAGCGCCGACACGCTTCGGGATATAATGTCATCTTCATTATCAACACGGATCCGCACATTCAGTAAGCGTTGCGTGTTCGTCTCATTGTTTTGTACTAAATTTATTAGCAGTAAAAGGACCTGTATGTAAGAATGAAAACAATTTAATAATAATTTAAATATAAGTACATAAAAAAATGCTGGCTGCGTATTGATTGTGTCCCTGACAGATGAGGCTCGGAATTTCAATTACTTAGGAATAACGGTCACTCCGCATTACCTTTCAAGTTGAAAACTTGAATGCATCACAATAGATGTTAATAGGGCTGCTATGTATGCACATTTCATTTACATTTTCTTCAATTATTGAAAAAAAAAACATTTGGTCACAGAACTTCATCATACAGTTCAACAACAGTCATAATGGCACGACTGCAAGTAGCGAGAATACAACAGAAGCTAATCACAAAAGATACTTACACAAACACTAAATTCGAAGTTCCTGTTATCAGGTATAAAATTTCCTTGATTGTTGAGAATGATGAGGCAGATTTCCATGACTGATGGTTGTTCACCTACTACTTGAGCTCCGACTGATGCTAAAAGTAGTATCATATTGTTAAAAGTGTTGATTTGATTCATAAACACTTTGATCAATAACTTGTAAGATCACGATGTAAATGCCAGACACATTGCGATACAAGATCAGTCTCTCACTCTTCAAATCCAACATGTGACTAAGATATCAGAGCAGAGATAGACAGGAAAGCGCCATTACCTATTATTGCAGACTTACAATATTATATCTAGTATAATAACAATAAAACTGCCATCGCTAATATATGGCTGTTTAAACTGATATTAAATATTTATCTTAGTATTTTGTGTTCTCAAAAATGCCGGTGGATTTTAATTATTTTTCTGTACACATGCTGACCATCTCATGAAGCCGTACTTCAACAATGAAAGAATGTGTTACATAATCACAGTTTATTATTATTGATTTCAAGAATAGATTTGCGAGTTCTGGTTACCTCTTAGAATCATGTCAGTGATGAGATAATCAAGTCAGTTAATAATAAAATGAAAAAAGTTAGATACGCACCGGTGTTACCGAACGAGTGCGAGAGGTTGACTAGTACTTTGAGTGCGGGCAGCGCGGCGTCGAGCAGCGGCAGGCGTCGCTCCACGTCGCGCCGCGCCTCGGCCGCGCAGCGCCGCAGCAACGCCGCCAGTGTCCGCGCCGCGCCGCCGCCCTCGCGTACCAGATGTATTTGGTTCTCTTCGTTTTGTTGTGTCACCTAAATGAAAATCTTTGCTTCAAATTTGTTTTATGTGGTAATGTTAAAATTTAAAAAGTTTAAGCAAAATGTGTGTAATTGAGCTATCGTTTTTTCCTGTTTGTTTGCTTTTGTAAGATTACATTTTCATTATTTTTCTTTACCTAATCGTTAGTAGCCTAAGGGCTATTTCAACTTCGGACTGACTCCAACAAGAACAGTGCTTCGCTGAATCTACCATTGGATCGGAATTGCAACCCACAGAGAAGATCCGGCGAGAAACTCAGTGGGTTGTGTCTGTGGGGTAGTCCACACATCAAACTCTTGAGGACTTTTTGGCGGGAACGCGAGGAGTGAAGTTGTGTGATTTGATTTATTTTGTCTATTTGGTGTTTCTTCAGGTTTAAATGTGTGTGTGAAAGTGCACAAATGTGGGAAAATTAAACAAAGCCGTTGGACGTAACTTCTCGGGATCCTCCAAAAAGTACACTGAAAAATCTCAGTAAACGACCACCATTTTACTGAGACTATAATATTTCATACAATATCATCTAATCTCATTTCATTTAATTTCATCCCAGTTGATTAATGTCTCAAATTCTTCATTTCATTTCATGCCATGCCATGTTTCATATGAAATTAATCAGCTTTATTTCATTTCATCATATCATATTTCATATTAAAAATATATAAAAGATTAGGCTGTATGGTGTTATACCTTTGCCTTTCCATTTGGAAAAATAAAACTACTACTACTGAAAACGTTTGCTTCAAATTCGTCTTATGTTGGATGCAATGAAGTAGGAAACCTATGGAAATGAAACGTCAACCAAAATTTCGTGCCACTGTGACGTCATCTGGCCACAAAACATGGCGGCTTTAGTGCTGTGCAAAAGATTTCAATGTTATCAGGTTTTATCGATAAACATTCTTGGCTCATTTTATTTTAAATATTGTTGAGTATTATTTATTTGTAGAATTTATACTTATAGGGAAGAAAGTAGGTATATTGTTATGTGCAAATATGATATGATTTAGATGGGTGAAATCTAAGACAAGTTCGTCCTTCGAATTTGCCAAGTAAACGATATGATGAATTTTAAAAGTTGCTACACTGATTTTATAAAGTTGTCGTTTGTCGCAAAACATAAAGATATGGCGTAGTTCAAAGCCATCAGCCCATTTCTAGCATGCTAAATGTTATCGTATTTTGAGTACGTGTTTCTCTTAGACTATTACAATCTATTTTATTCTATATATTAACGTCATTCCTTGTGACTTCCTCTCTAAAATCACTTAATTATTAAATATTTAACAAATTTACAATAGTGTTTTACTCACTGCGGAATAAAACTATTTTATTTAAATAGTTCCGAAGAGATTTTGTCGGTAGCCTTTTTCCCGAAATATCTAAACAGAATGTCTAAAAATGTTTTGATGACATATTTTAAAGTGGTATTTATGATTAGTGTCATGATCAATAGATTCCGACCGAAAAATGGATTTTTCGGATGAGGGCTCCATAATGAATTTAAATACATATAGATAATAGTTTTAGGGCATCGACTTTCTTGAGATCCTATAAAATACGTTTTAATTATTATTTTTGTATGTTTTAAGCATGATAAATTATGAAATTTTATATAATCAATCATATTAAATCGATATCAAAGTCAATAAATAATGTACAACCCAAAACAGACGGCCGAACTGACGTGACAATGACATTTGGCGCGCTAAACATGGCGGATTTTCGGCCTCATTAGACGGAGACGGAGATATTTACGTATATTCATGTTTCATTTTATGTACGCACTGAAATACTGTTATATTGTTTTCCTGCGAGTTAAAGTGCTGAGTAAGAACGAGATAGATATATGTTTATGTATGTGCCTTCTAAATGGGTGCTATTTATATAAGCAATTGTACGTATAGAACAATATGTCGTGTCCCTACTATATAGGTCTATGGTTGGATGCGTTCCACTAAGCGCCCACAACGATCAAAATGCACCTTTAGTCGTTCCACATAACGACCGCGGTCGTTGTAGTCGCGGCGAAAACGTCACTTATGACGTCATGACTTACGCTCACGCGAAGCTCACGACGACCCATCTAAAAAGGTGGGTTCGAAGTGATCGTTGAGAAAATTAGCTGCGTTTTCAAAACTCAAAGCATCAAAAATGGCGACCGTTAAGCTTACGTTATTTCATGCGGAAAGAGATATATACTATCTGGAGCATTATTGCGACCTCTTACCAAATATCCAAGTGCCGCCGCAAACGACATTTTAATTACATTTGAACGGAAATTAATTAAATACGCCACTAATTTTAAATATAAAAAACATTTTATATATATTTTTCAATATAAATCGATTTAAACAATGACCCAGACTAGCTAGTTTTGATGACAATGTGAACTTTATTTTTATACATACACCCCCACTACATATTTTACAACTTAGACTTATTATTTGATCATATACTTGCTGTATTTGATGTGGTTTTGTTGTTGGAGTGGAGTAGAAGTGGAGAATTGTGAAGCCTGTTGGATCTACCAGGAAATATTACAAATAAAAACTGCTACTGTTTACTCACATTCTCTAAAACCCGCATACATCTATCTGCTTTCCTTAGCACTTCAATTTGTTCATTAGTCCATGAAGATGTCGGCATGTCGAGTTTATTAGCGCAGTCCTGGATAGTACGCACAATATGATCAACACCACCCAAAACTCTCAATTCTTCTTTGAACCATTCACCAGCGCGTTTCGACGTCAGTGAAAGAAGCGTTTCCATTGCTAAATGACCAACCTGGAATCAAAATGTGATTCATCTTGTTGAATTTATTGCCGTTTTAAAAAGTATTAGTTATGTTTTTCTTATAATTAATATTTTGAAATGATGCTTGAAATATGACACATTTTCGAGTGTGTGACATTAGTTATTTCTCACCGTAATGTTATCCAAATCTAAATGTTGAGCTTTCCCTTGGCTTTTTATCTCAGCACATAATTCCCTTACACGCTCTTGTGTTTTGGCTAATTGTGTCGATGTTAAACCACAATCATCGAGAGCATTCCTGAAACATATTTATTTGTTAATTCTCTATAATAACACAATAAAAAAAAGGAATGTAAAACAAGGTAAAAAATGAAAGTATGCAATAGTTTTCACTGAATATGTTTTAAGTGGTTTCTTTTGTCAATTACTTACTTATGTGAAGCGTCGGATTCTAACAAGTTTAACATAAGCTCAAGTGATTCTCGATCTAAGTCCATGTTGAGACGATCTTGGGATAACACAAACATGACTGTGGCAGTGCACAGACCCAGACTCTGAAAAAAAAAAAAAAAAAACTTTTAGCCTAGCAGTAGTTAATCCTAATCATGCATTTGCAGTTTTGGTGCTAACTTTGTGACACTTTTATAAGAATGTCTATAAAATTCATTTCTAATTTTTCTGTCTTGCTCAAGATACAATCACTTTTTTAAATGTAATAAATTTTTATATGCTACATGCATATAAATCTAATATATATCTAATATATAAAATTCTCGTGTCACAATGTTCGTTCCCATACTCCTCCGAAACCGCTGGACCGATTCTCATGAATTTTTTTATGCATATTCAGTAAGCCTGAGAATCGGCTACTATCTATTTTTCATACCCCTAAGTTTTTAAGTAATTTTTTTTATTTGGACATTTTTTATTGTTATAATGAGGTATTATGTGGTTGAATGAGGTTTTGTTATTTTTATTATACAGGGTGGCCCATAAGTCCTTTGAAAAGTAAAATTTGAATAAAACGAACAGGGCGCGCGTGAGCGGTGCAGGGGAAGCGGGGGGAGTAACTTCGGTTTCTGGGAATTTAGTCGCGATGGAGCGTTTTACCGGAGCGGACCGTGCGTTTTGTGTGCGCGAGTTTTATAAAAACGACAATTCGGCAACCGTTGCGCGGCGTAAATTTCGAGAACACAAAGGTTTACACAACTTTGACGACACTCCAACTCTTCAAACGATTAAGAACTGGGTTGCTAAGTTCGAGGAGACCGGTTCGACGTTAGATAAACCGCGGTTGGGTCGCCCAAGGACGTCACGTACGGAACAAAACATAGACACAGTGACACAGTCTATTCGCGAAAATCCGACACAGTCAACTCGTAAGCGCGCCAGAGCATTAAACGTATCCAGGACATCGTTACAACGGATTTTGAAGAAAGATTTACATATGCACCCTTACAAAATTCAGTTGGTTCAAGAATTAAAGGAAACTGACGGTATTCAAAGACAAAATTATGCGAATGAAATGTTGAATCGGTTTACTTCCTTCAATAACATAATGTTCTCTGACGAGGCTCATTTCCATCTTAACGGGCATGTTAGTAAACAAAATTGCCGCTATTGGAGCCCCATCAATCCAAAACTTAAGCATCAGAAGCCCTTACATAGTCCGAAAGTGACTGTTTGGGCCGCTATGTCAGCCCATGGTATCCTAGGGCCTTACTTCTTTGAGGATGGCAGAGGGCGCGCAGTTACTGTTACGTCGGAGCGATATGTGGCTATGATCGAAGAGTTTTTCATACCAGAATTGCAAAACTTTTCAGGCTTTAATGCCAGGACGTGGTTTCAACAGGATGGGGCCACTTCTCACACCTCTAACACTGCTATGCCCGTTATCCGTCAACTTTTTCCTGGCAAAGTTATCTCTAAGAGAGGAGACATTTCCTGGCCTCCACGTAGTCCAGATCTGACCCCGATGGATTTTTTTTTGTGGGGCTACCTTAAGGCTAAAGTATACGACACAAACCCGCGGTCAATTGAGGCCCTAAAAGAAAACATCCGCAGAGAAATGACAAGCATTTCAGCAGTGACGTGCCGCGCAGTCATCGACAATTTTAGACGTCGTTTGCAAGAGTGCCGTGATCGCAACGGATTACATTTAGGAGATGTTATTTTCAAAAAATAATTCCCGTTTTTTAAGCTTTTTATGTAAATAAAAATTTAATTCATAATGTAATTAGTTTTATTTTAATAATTTTTTTTTCATATCAAAGGACTTATGGGCCACCCGTATATTCCCTCATCGTTCACAGCACTACATACCTCTTTCACTCATTTACCACAACCTTACACACTTACAATAAGTTTTTTTTTGTTATACACTAGAAATTCCCTAGAAATCTTATATATGGCAAAACAATGTTTGCCGGGTCAGCTAGTAATTTATAAATTTTTACATATATAAATTTTCGCAATAACTTTGTATGACATAAATTTGAATTTAATTAATGAAGAAGCTAAAAAAATGATAAATTTTGTCATCTTGATCTAAAAGTTTAGATTAAGTTCATAAAGTATAAAAGTTAATTAACTTCAGTAAGTACACGACACAGTAAATATGTTACAAAAAAAGGAATTGCTAATACAGACTAATACAGAGTAATGCTTATTTGTTTTTTTTTTCAATTTAGAAGATTGCTTCTTTTGTAAAGTCCAGAATGAATTCCTGGTTTGAGTCAGTATTTTTGTGTGAATTGTGTTCAGAATCTGGATGCTATCTTATATGTTTCTTCAGTATCCATAACACAATGCAAATTCCTAGCTGTGCCATTAAACATGGAATTATTTTGTATTAGGTTTTAATAATGTAACATTAATCACATAACATAACAAATAACTGTTTCTTTAAAATACTTATAAGAAGCTTAATTAGACATCAAGTTGTCAGCGAGTTGCCTTTCACTACACCCACTCAAGTATTAGCAAAATGGGATGGGCGCGTTAGGTATTGACAAAGTAAGTTCGGTAAGGTTGACTTTAAAAAGAAAAGAAACTACAACAGACAGTTTGGGTTACTTGCGGTCTCTTGGTCGCTAAAATATATATTCAAACCAAATATTCATATAAGTTGGCATGTAACTTTGTAATAAAATGATTTTAATTTGTTTTCGTTCACAATTAATATCATTACTTGCTTTGATTAATTTTTCATTTTCTGTTTATAAGTGCTTCATGAGATAATTTTTTTCGCATATTTTATTTTATTTTTATTTCTTAGGTGTGGACGAGCTCACAGCACACCTGGTGTTAAGTGGTTACTGGAGCCCATAGACATTTACAACATAAATGAAAAATCAGTACACATAGTACATATTTATATCCCTTCCAGCTATATCCATTTTTGCTCGTGTCGTAGTAATAAGTATCCTATATATTGTTAAGCCAGGTTACGAACTATATTATTTTTGTAAGGCATTTATTCCAAATCTATGTAAGTCAATTTGTGTGATTGACTAAAAAGCTATCAATTTTATTAAATTGAAATACAGAAGCCGATTTAGAGCCAACGAAACCTTAGTCATTTATTTCAGTATTTGAGAAGTTGGGGCATGATTATTTAAAAAAAATACATCTAAGTAACTTCTGCAGTACCTGGTCATTTGTGGCGTCGTGAAGTGCACTGAAGAACTTCTGCACAGTACCGTGGGCCCGCAAGTGCATGCGGAATGCCGGTGCCGTACATTTGCTCGCCAATGTTATCGTTGATAGACACCTTGTTGACATTGGATTGTTGTCCTATAAGAGAAAATTAAAAATTAAGAGAAATTTATCATCAAATATAATATTTCGAAAATAATGTAATAAAGTTTCAATAGTGTTCCACATGATGTTATTCATTTTTTTTAAATTTGATTTTATTAATATTAGAGTAAAACATCTACTGAGCTAATGACCAACTTCGGGTTAAGTCTTTTCGTTTATAAAGGTCACCCTGTCCTTCAAAATGGAGAGCAGAATTAGACAGGATGGTGGTACCATACACACCTGATGGTAACACCCACAGAAAGTGCTATTCTAGACTAACTTCACACCATTAGAATTATTCTACAATATGTAAAAATATTATTTGAGCTTATAGGTAAGTCACTTTTAACAATAACAATCACCGTAATACCTGTAATGCATCCAGAAGGTATTCAACATCATCATTGAATTCTTGGAATTCTCCAATTTCCTGTATCTGATGTGCTTTCTTGACATTTCTGACTACAGTGTAATACTGAAAATAAAAAGCACACAAATAATGAACTTCCTCCTTTTTTGGATTCAGATTCTTTTGATTTTATTTTATAATTGTCTTTTAAAATGGACTAAATTTTTTTTTCTTTTTATAAAATTAATATTTTAAAGAAATGTATATCTTGTGTAAAGTCCATTTTTGTTGATACCAGATTATTTTACTGAAGCTTTCGTACATATAATCCAATCCATTAAAAATTCGCCACATATTTTTTTACTATAGGATGATTGGAAAAAGATCTTATTAAATAGCTTCAGAATATTATGAACTTGATTTTTTTATATGGTGCGGTGGGGTTAACAAGCTCTCAACCCATATGACGTTAAGTGGTTACGAGGGCCAATTGACATCACTAAGTAAATATCGCCAGCCACCTTGAGATATGAGATTTAAGTATAAATTGTATACAATAATGTATGTCCAGATTCCTTAACACAAGTAAACGTCATTATACAGGGTGTCCCATGTAATTTGGTATTTTCCGTATTTTTAATTTGGGTACTGCCTAAAAAATATTTTTTTTTATTTTTTATTTTGAGTTCCCAATAGCTCTACTATGAGGTGTTTCAGGATTATCCATTCTTTCTGGGACACCCTGTATAAATCATTATTTTTTGGGTGATTTTATTCCTTCTTTGTACAAGATATTCTGGAACACATTTTGTTAAGTAAAAACTGGCTCCTGCCTGTATGTTTTGAAAATAGTATAAAAACTATTGCTTGATATGAGCACACTGTCTTATGATTTAGGACAAGACTTTAAAATGTTATGATCAACAAAATGGCCATAAATTGCCAGATTAGTCAAGAAAAATGCACATTTCAATTTGTATTTAACCTAACCTTTCATCATTAATGGAATTGATACATATTCCAAAAATGGTAAATTTTTTAACTTTATTTGTCAAGGAAAAAAATTAAGAGACATGTACATCAGTGTAAGTATAGTGTTTTGTGAATTGATTTTAATAGTAATGATTAATTCAGGCCTCTTTACCTTCCCACACTTTGATGTACAATTAAAGTTGTTTGATTTACAATTATTTGTATAACTCGCTAACTAGTTAGATTAAGTTTAAAGAAATTAAAATTCTAGTCAAAAGCATTCTTAATCTAAAGTAATAGTAAAAGACATGATGCTTAAATCTCATAGATGTTGAACTTACTTCTTTAGCTTCCTTATTACATTTAACACTAGTATATGGTTTAAAACCATCATTAGTAGACTCAATGTCATCTACAATGGGATCAGCGGCTCTGTACCTAGTGACCCTGGTCAGTTCTTCAGTCACTGGTGCTACTGGATTTCTGACCTCAGAATTTTCCGATGGCTCAGGCCTTGGAGTTTCACTTCCTTTCTGAAAATGTTAAAATATAAATATATATTTTATGCTGACACCAAGACACTGAGTAAAGGGCTATGTAATGTTATTATTAATGTATATGTAACATATAGTTTGTTAGTAATTAATTACTTTTTTAGATTTTGATATTAAATTTTAAATCTATATGAATATGAATTTAAATAAAATTTATATATGGTGTTATGAATTGCACTGAATTGCCTTTTTTCCATAAACTCAGATTTAAATATGACCTAAGAGACAAGAGTAGCCAGGATCACTACTTACACCATTCATGGGGCTAAAATAGTTTAAATGGGGCATCAGTATAAACTAACTTTTATAGTATTGTCCTATAAGATATCTCAGGTCGTTTTAATTTTATAATGCCTCATTGCTATTTTATAACATTTATTTTACACACATGTATCAATTGTGTAAAATATGAGTAATAAATAATAGTGAATAATAAACACTGGTGTCAAAAATAGCAGTCATTCAGTCGTTATTAAAATATATTTAATTTGATGTTTACAAACTACATTACTTACATCATTGGCCCATTCATGCCTATACAAATGACGTCTCTTCCTAGCAGGCAATGGTGATGGATTGTCATTTACTAATGACTTACTTTTAAATATTGAGCCTTTCTTTTTAGTTATTACCAATTTTACACTTGGTTTATCTTCTAAATGCTCTTCTGATTCGCCTAAGCCCCTTGGAGATTTGAAGACATCTTCTTGTGAATTCCTTTGTATTTCTTCTTCTGAATTATCATTAGGGCAACTGTTGTAAGCAGAGTCTGAAGACTGGGTATTTGCTTGAGGAAAACCTTGAGTGTCATGTGAATTTGACATTTGAACTAAGCTGTTCAGTGGTAAGTCATCTAGTTTTGATTCTTTATCACTGTTGTTGTGTTGTTCCTGTGAGTTTTTCTGTTGAGTCATGTCTATCTCCTCTTCAGGGCTAGAATATTTTATTTGCTTATGTTTTTGCTTTTTGTGTGGCTTTTTGTATGTCTCAATAATTGGTTTATTCTCTGCGCTATTTGAAAACATTTCTACTAATTTTGTATTCTCTGGAGGGCTTTCTTTCTTTTCAGTTTCACTACCAGGGTCTGTAGCAGTGACTAAAGAATTTTCAATAGTTGCTTCTTGTTTCCTTCTAGTTTTACGTCCTTCTTTTTTGAGGTCACTTACTGTTTTAATTGTTTGTTTGCTAGTATAACCAGTAGTAATTACATCTAAGTAATCATCATTTTCACTATAGTTTATATTGGGTCGATTTCTTCTTGATCTTCCTGTATTTTCTGGTGGTTTTGGTTCAGGTGGTGTTTCATTCGGTTGCACTTCTAACCTAGGTGATTTTATGGGTGGTTCTAAGCCATCAAGCTTAGAAAGACGTGATTCAATTTCATCTTTAGTTGTTTGTTTACTTCCAAAGACCTTTTCATTATCATATGGAGGTGATGCAAGAGTTTTGTAGAGATCATAAACATCCAAACCAGATTGTGGTGAGGCCGGTTTCTTTGCAAGTTCTTCATCAAAACTTTTATGATGATGTCTTTTGTGAGATTTGTGGTCCTTTTTTTCTTTTTTCTTTTCTTTCTTATTTTCATGATTTATGCCTGGGCATTTTATTGTAATTTTAAGGCTTTCTTGTTTTGGTGAACATATTGTCTCAACAGATGGACTCTTTTTGTGATCAAAGCCAACATCTGAATGCATATCCAAAGATGAATGTCTGTCAGAATTTGGAGATGTAAAGCCTTCATTTGAATCTGTGCTGACAATTCGGGACGTTCCTTTAGATATTCTTAGCACAATAGGAGGTGGCTTACGTTCCTCATTAGCATCTTTACTTGTCGAAGGACTTGATACTTCTGCTTTTACAAGAGTTTGATTTTCTAATGATGGACTTGCCAATGGTGTTGGTATTTTTGGTGATGGAGCTTTCACATGTAGAGGTTCATATCGACTTGTAAATTCTGGTATGGGACTATTACTGCCGTCTTCAGCATAATTTATCACCTTATTCCTATTACGGACTAAGTAACGTTTATTGGGTGGTTGAGCATTTTCAGCAGGGACATCCTCTTTTTTGGCTGCCTTAGTTGCAACTGTGCTTTTCTTCGTTTTGTTCTTTTCAGAACTTCTCCAAGGTATTTCTGGAGAGGACGAATCTCTTGTATGTGTCCTTCTTTTTGGTTTTTTCTCTTTACTATGAGAAGGATGTTCTGGTGATAGAGGTGCTGCAGGTACTGGTGGTGCATAAGTAATTTGAGGAACTGGAGGATATAGTTCTGCATTTCGGGATTTAAAGAATTTTTTGGGCTTCGGTGGAGGTTGTTCTGCCTCAACGGCTGGTACTGTTAAGGGGCTATTTTGATCTTGAACTGGCTTCTTAAGAACATTGCTAGAGTATGCTGAAATGTTGACAGATGTTATAACATTTTTTAAAAGATTTTTTTAAAATCGTATATTCACTATGTTTTAAAAAAATTGTATGGTATTATAATATTGTTACCGAAAAAACAGCAATATTTATGAATCTACATCATAACAATTTAGAAATCATATGCGCAAGTAAAAAAATATTTTTCTTACCGTAAGGCGCGCTTCGGATTGACGTAAAGCTGGTAATACCCCACTTTCCAACTGTACCTGCAGAACGAGCCGCGGTAGGACAGTTGCTGTTCTCTCTAAATAGGGCACTATCAAGCGGCACAGCCACGCTGCCGCCTCTACCTCTACCCCAGCGAGACATTCTAATAATTTCATCAAAAACGATGACACTTGCACCAACTCGCTGAACTATGTGCTTGTCAAATGTCAAAGCAAATAGCACATTTCGTTCGTTTACTCGCAATGTATTTGCTATGAAATTCTAAGATTTGATGAAGCAGGTTAATCTTAAACAGATCTAATTAAACGAAAACACAGCCCATAAAGATAACACAACCGCCATTTTTCCAGGGGCGATACTTTTCCCACGATCACTGTTTTTAACTTAATCAATCCACTGAGCCCGTGTCAAATAATCATAGCTTCCAAATCAACTAACTAATTTCTTTGAACATACTGAGGTAGATAAATAGAGTTAAATTCAACATCAATAATGACAAATAGGACACAAACTGCGCTGTTGTCATCTCATAACAGAGGAGACGCCATATTGGCTAAACAAGAATTTATTTTTTGTGTCATTAATGAGTAGAAATCTTACCTGAGATCGATCTATCGAGTAATCGATTTTACCTCCAAAGAGGATCGATTTTATTCGAAATAAGCCAATGAATTGATCTCAAACCATGGAAAATTTCATTTCGAAATGTCCATTTCGATAAGAATATAATCATACTTCAAATTACAACGAATCATGCATGAAACATATGCAGTTACACGATTTTAGTTTCATTACTACTATTGCTCATAGACACCAATAATAATTAGACCACTACCGTGCCTACCATTGCCTTGCCTTGTATTCCCTACTTTAAAAAAAATCCTTATATATATCGTAGCGTTCTCACAATATTTGTCGGTGACGTGATTGATTGACTTGGCGAATTCTTATTTTCTACAAATAAAGCCCACAAAAAATCCAAAAATTTAGGAATTGAAGAAATAGATCATAATAACTCTTTTTGACGTTGACTTCTTGACTTTGGTAAATTAATCAGCTTTCGTTTTTAAAATCGATCTTTTTCGGGAAGAATCCCATACCTACCGGCGGTGGAGAGTGACCATAGACTCTCAATAAAAGGGCACAGATTATACAAAGAGTTCCAAACTGCACGATTCTGATCTCGGTTCGGTATTTGAAAAACAATGAATTAAAATTAGGTACTTTTTGGCGGGAACGCGAGGAGTGAAGTTGTGTGATTTGTTTTATTTTTTCTTCAGGTTAAAATGTGTTATAACGGTGGTTTATTAACTGCTTAATATCTGTGAAAGTGCACAAATGTGAGAAAATGAAACAAAGCCGCTGGACGTAGCTTCTCGGGATTCTCCAAAAAGTCCACTGAAAAAATTTCAGTAAATGACCACCATTTTACTGAGATTATAGTTCATCCCGTATAATTTCGTTTCATTTTATTTCACTCCATATTATCATTTTTCAAATTTCATTTTTCAAATAAGAGTTAAAAATTAAAATAAGACTTGACCTAAAGGTCTTAGTTACCAGATTATAAAATCCCTTTAAAAAAACTAAAAATAGGAGATTTTTGGCGGGAAAGCGAAGAGAAAAGTTGTGTGAATTGTCTGAATTTTTTTATTTGTATTTCTTCGTATTAATACATGTTAATAATTGTATTTTTTTATTGCCCTTGTAGGCAGACGAGCATACGGCCCACCTGTTGGTGAGTGGTTACCGTCGCCCATGGACTTCAGCAATGCCAGGGGCGGAGCCAAGCCGCTGCATACCGCTTAATACTCTCCACAAGCCTCTTTTAAAGAAGGACAGGTCATGGCGCTCGGGAAACACCGTGGAGGGTTCATTCCATAGCCGGATGGTACCTACGTGGCAAAAAGACCTCTGGAAACGCACTGTCGATGAACGCAGCGGTTCCAGATGGTATGGATGAACTCTGCTCCGATGGCAGGAGGTGCGATGATAAAAAGGAGATGAGGGGATCATCTCAAACAATTCCTCAGAGCACTCCCCATGGAACAACCGTTTAGCTCCTCTGAAGGTGTAAGAAGATGCACTAGTGTAGCGGACGGTTTCTTATTTAGATATTTATATTTGTGAGGAGGAAGATTTTTACAATAAAACAAAATAAAATTATGATGCGACTTTCATGGCTGACAGTTTATTCCAACTGACTTTAGAAACAAAATTTAAAAATTATAAAAATATAAATGACAGCTCTGTTGCTTTGCAACTAAACTTTTTACTGCGGTGCCAAACATGCCCCCGGATGTTGAAAGGTTTCCTTTCAACCCAAAACTAATCCGCAATCAGGGGACAAATCTTATTAAAAGNGCGAGGAGTGAAGTTGTGTGATTTGTTTTATTTTGTCTATTTAGTGTTTCTTCAGGTTTAAATGTGTAATAATGGTGGTTTATTAACTGTTTAATATCTGTGAAAGTGCACAAATGTGGGAAAATGAAACAAAGCTGCTGGACGTAACTTCTCGGGTTCCTCCAAAAAGTCCACTGAAAAAATCTCAGTAAATGACCACAATTTTACTGCGATTATATTTCATCCGATATCATCTCATTTCATTAAATTTCATCCCAGTTGATTAATGTCTCAAATTAATCATCTTCATTTCATTTCACTCCATATTATCATTTTTCATAAAATCAAGAATATAAAGTAAAATAAGACATGACTTAAAGGTCTTAGTTACCAGGTCATAAAATCTCTTAAAAAAAAAAAAACTTAACATTAAAAGTAATAAAAAAAAACCATTAATAATTTTAAAATTTCACAAAAGATGGTTAGAAGTTCGGATTTTGGCTACGTTCAATAATTGCACGTCGGTCTTGAATGCTGCAGTAGGTCGTTAATTGTTAACTTTCTGATCTAACATACCAATTAAGTGTCATAACCGAAATACAACTCTCCACGGTCAAATATTTTAAATTACGACAGTTGCTCGCATAACTTTCTAAAAGTGCGTCTGTCGCTAACTGCGTAACTATTACAATGAACTGTTAATGTTGCATTTCATTCTAACGACACACCGATATAAGGAGGATATCCATGAATTTTATTTTTGTTCGAGAATTGATTATACAGAAAAAAAATTGATGTTTTCTAATAGGCGTAAATTTTATTAAGTGACTCCTCTGGTGGTAGGACCTCTTGTGAGTCCGCGCGGGTGGATACCACCACCCTGCCTATTTCTGCCGTGAAGCAGTAATGCGTTTCGGTTTGAAGGGTAGGCCAGCCGTTGTAACTATACTTGAGACCTTAGAACTTATATCTCAAGGTGGGTGGCGCATTTTCGTTGTGGATGTCTATGGGCTCCAGTAACCACTTAAAACATCACAGCTATAAAAAATAATAAAAAATTGTGTAATTTTTTTGATGATTAATATTATTTTTAGGATTTAATCGCGTATTCTCATTTTATTAAATCCGACGTTTCGAATTAACCCTTGTTAACCTCTCGTTGCGTTGATCCCTAATGCTGTGAACCTAATGCTCTAAGAACGTCAGATTCTCTTGTTATGTATTCTCCCATGTTCCGGCTTCCAACAGCACGTACCGCTTTGGTGTGTTAATGACAATTTTAGAGGTCATGTTTCCAAAGTGTTGTAGCTCTCGACCTTATGCCCTCTATTTTTCTATGACTATCAGTTTTCGGAGTTCATCACCTCGTGTTTACGAGTTACGTGTACAAAGAATTTAATTCCCTTCAATTCGCCGTAACTTCTTTGAATTGAGTTTGAGTTCATTGAGAGTGTGTTAAACCATTGGGGTAGGTATATACAGCCATGTATACCTACCTACTCTCTACGTTGCGCTCTCTTTTTTCCTTTTTTCTTACATTGCTGTTTTTTTATGACTAAGATTATTAATTGTATGATTATTGACTATGTTAATGTAACTCTCCCTAACATTGTAATGAATATATTATTGAGATAGGATGTGGAACGGAGTAGAGCCTCAAGCTTTAGCATGTCTATTTCTGTTGTATTTTCTCGGGTATTTCTGTTGGCACGAAGATCATACATACTACCAACCCGATGGCTAGGACAACAATTACTTAGGTGATGGGCTACAGTAGTAGTAGTTCTATTTTTCCAACTGGAAGTGCAAAGGTATATCATACCATACAGCCTAATCTTTTTTGTATTATTTTTTATGACAAATGATATGGAGCGGAATGAAATGAATTTGATTAATTTGAAACATCAATTAATTAACATGAAATTAAATGAAATGACATGAGACAATTTGGGATGAAATATAATTTCAATAAAATGGTGGCAATTTACTGAGATGTTTCAGTGGACTTTATGGAAGGTAAGCTTACGAAATAGCTACGTCCAGAGGCTTCGTTTCATTTTGCACAATCGTACACTTTCACAGATACTAAACAGTTAATAAACCATCGTTATTACACATTTAAATCTGAAGAAACACTAAATAGAAAATATAAAACAATTCACACAGCTACGCTTCTCCGTTCCCGCCCAAAGTACCGATGGTCTACACGTCCACTAATAAACGTCAAAATACTCACTTTTTTTCTTAAAAAGACTATCTTTAATTTTGACAAAGGCTCTACAATCATTCGTATTTACTTTAAAAGTCCATTCGTGAATGTGTCAACGAAAGTTTTTTTGTAAGTAGGGCGACCACGAGTTCAGGTTGAGAGAAGCGTGAACACGCATTGACTGCGGGCCCATCTCCACGGGCGTGGCACCTGCGACCGGCCACTTTCTTTTACTTTACGACGCGTTGCGTGATTTCATTCAACTTTTTCTTTATAAATCAACTACTGTCATTAAGTCGGATAATTAATTTCAGAAAGCTCTTTCATAATATAGTTAAGACTGGTAATCTCTGGTCGTGACGCACACACTACTGTATGAAATAATGTATTCATTATTTATAAGAAGTCTCGAGTTTAAATAAAAAATTGGCTTTAATTAAAACGCAGGATTAAACCGTAAAGTGGTTTTAATTACGTCCACAGCTCACGAAAACCGAAGAAAACATTATAATTAGGTTCTATAGTATTTGAAAACACAATAAAATTCAATGATACTGATTACAAGTGGCCTAATCACAACGCGGATTTT